AACTCCAAATGATGTCATCAAACTCCAAATGATGTCATCAAACTCCAAATGATGTCATCAAACTCCAATTGATGTCATCAAACTCATTGTTACTATGTCCCTAGCTTTGTTGCATCAGCTCACTCGCCTATACAAAAGATCTACAAATCTTGGTATATGTCAGTGCAGTACAAAGCCTTGCAATGTGCTATCGTCTGTTCCATCCATCAATGCGTATTTAAACATTCATAAAAAAAAAAACAAAATACGTTGAATGGTATCACTGCATGCCAGGGATGGAGTCAATAGAGCTTAACATTAATTGGTATGGGGGAGGGGGGAGTGTGGATCAATACGTTACATTACAGAGCATAGAGTTGCAAAATATCTTGGCGCCACATTAGGACAAAAAAAAAACAACTTTTACCATTAGGGAATAAATCAATTTGAAATGTATTAACGTTGTGGATTTTAAAAACAAATGTATACAAATAAAATGAGTACAATGAATGTCTTTAATCTCGCTCCTAGACGTATTAAACAGTTTCTCTTCTGTTTTAATCCTGATGTTTTATCCATGTATTGGCTTTGTAAAATCTCTGTAACAAATACACACAATAAATAGAAGAGTCCAAATGGGGGAGTACCTACAAACAATAAACAGATGGAAGTACAAGGGAGTGAAATAGACACGAGAGAGAGAGAGACAGAGACATATATATAGAGAGAATACTTTTTGGTCATGTTGGTGTGTGCATGTGTGTGTGTGAGAGAGAGATTTTTATTGACGCTTATCAGCGTTCAATTCCACTTTTCAACCCACGAATCGATCTTGGTCAGTAGGTCTTGTGTACCACGTGACACAGGACTAAATATAGACAATGACATGTGTGATTTACCTATGTACTTGGATGCTAATCTTAAGTCTCATACATGCCACTCAACATGTAGCGCCACCTAGTGCGACAACTTCAGGCGGGAAATAAAAGTCGTAGGAAGTAATGTGTATGTGTTATGTGTCTGTGTGTTTTATATGTGTGTGGGGGGGGGGATGCACTTCAAAACGAAAACAACTTTTCAATGGCTTCAAAGGTCAGATTGCATCATACTCGACCTGCGAGTTAGAGAGTGTGTGTTAGAGATTATATGTGTTTGATTGAGCAAGTATTTTGGTGTGAGAGTAGGGGGAAAAGTAACATTTCCTTGAATTACATCAGATTGTCGTAAGTACAACCCGCCTACACAACCTAGGTCAACGACTCACATACACACATCTCCAGAGAGAGAGAGAGAGAGACACTCATGCGAAGGACCAGGTTGCTTTTAACACCACAGGTTAATGAATAGTGATTTTTTTAAGTCCATAATAGATCAATACCTAAGGTCATTGTATTAATAGTTTGCTCGAATCGAAAATTTACATCAAAGCGACAAACTCTATAAAAAAAAAAAACAGAATATGTTGCTAAAAATAACGCCGAAAATTTAGGGGAGGTATTCATTAAAGATCATCATGGAACAAATAATACTGGTTAAAATAAACCCAGGTACGCTGTTCTGCCTCATCGTGGCACCTGGGTGGAAACGGCTACTTGAGGGCGTAGCTAGGCTAAATGAATGGCGAAACATAACTCCGGTGGGGATGCCCACGGGTAGACGAGAGTCCATCCATTGCACGGGCGGGGTTTTAAAAAAGTCCCCACGAGCACGTCTCACATCCATGTGCCGTTCCTCAAAGGACCGTTACATAAATGGCGAATCCCCCACGGTTAGCTTGGTACAACGAAGGAAAATGACGGAGGCTCCTGGTGTCCTCGGCCTTCGGCCATGAGCGGCGAATCATGCGTCGGGACCAAAGGCATTGGAAACAGCAATGTTTTACATAGGCATTGACTTGGGTCGCTCTCAAACAGAACTGTGCGTTCACACAGGTTGTTTTTTTTTTACTGTTTCGGCTGGACGACCAAACAGGTTTTTTTCAAACTTAGAGCTCGAAGAGCCTTCGGCTCAGCTCTTTTGGACATCAACAAGGTAAAAATAAAAGCATTAGCCACTGTGCGACATTCTAATACATAGATCTATCTCGTTTAAACATTGGCCAACTAGATTTATACATATATCGTTAGAGGTCTTCTTTGAGGGGAAAGCAGTTTATTATTGTTGTTGTTGTTGTGCTGTCAGTCTTTCACGTAACCAACTCATAAAACTAATGTCACTCATGATAATTTCGTTTCACTATCCGGGCCATTAACCAGGACATACGTCAGTCTCACAGCGACACCAGCTATAGTGACGGCAATTTAAAAAAAATAACTTCGTCTTGCTGGTCACTTTAAAAGAATGTCAGAGGAGCAAACATTTTATACTTGCCAAAACCAAAAGGTAATCAACCCAAAGACTTAATGGCAGACCACAACTATGATGGATTGACGATGTAGAGGCAGACCTAAAAGTACAGGCTGGGCTCTAGCGCCACTGCGATGGATGGATCTGTTATAGCCCATATTTTAATTGTAATAGATCCAGATATTATGGTCAGGTCTTAGGACACCGTGCACTATTGGTTTTCAATGAAAACTTTTGATTATGCCCTTGAGGAGGCCATGAGTTAACTTTTTTAAAATGCATTTAAATATCGATCACGCTGACATTTAGAGAAACCCCTTCTCATCCACCCTCTTTACCAACTGGTCCAGACAAATGATAGGATCATAGCGCAATGAGAAAGCTAAACATACAATTGAGCTAGATTTTTTTAAAGCTATTTTCTCTGAAGCTCTTAGTTAAAAGAATATCGACACTTTTAGTTTTAAGTAAGTGTCTCTCCCCCCCTCTAACATGCAATTAGCATCTAGTTGACCACAAGTTTTTAATGTAACCATAATTTGAGAACACTTGGCTGAACCAGACTTGACCTGATACTGTGACATAGGTTCCTGGACAAACCAAATACGACAGTCAATGTTTAAGCTCTGTGTCATCCTAGACTTGAATATCGGTTGACTTCTGCGACTCAATAGACAGTTGGATTAGCGTGGATATAATAGTGACATTGAGCGAACTTAGTAAACATTTGGTTAAGTCTACAATCTACGTTCTGGCAGACATAATCAACATGTATGGAGACAAACATGGTTGTTTTTAGATTGACAGATAGATAGATAGATAGATTGATAGATAGACAGATAGACAGACAGATAGATAGATAGATAGATAGATAGATAGATAGATAGATAGATAGATAGACAGATAGATAGATAGATAGATAGATAGATAGATAGATAGATAGATAGATGAAAGACACACTAGGCAATATGTAATTTTCTCCCTTGCATAACGTTATTTTAATCTTGCTTTCATGAAGTCGACTTTTTATTAGGCAATATTCCGATCCATCATTTAAACCGCATCCAATGGGCATCTCGTTATTATTCTAATAATTTTTTTTAGAGTTCTGTCCCTTCAATAAGCACTCTGACGTCACAGTTTCGTATTTCCATTAACCCTTCAAACCTAACAGCATCGCGAATGAAATGATTACAGGAGAAGTGCCGGTGTTTATGGAAATGAGTCTGGGAATTCTGGGTAGAGAAAATCGCTGAGTCATTCTAACGTATCATTACCAATGTGATTGCTGGAGTTTTTTATTGTTTCATTGAGCTGGATTGAGCGGGGGGGGGGGGGGGAATAATTTGTTTTCTTTATTAGACCTAGAAGAATTTTTTTATAAAATATTTATCGTTTGAAGCAATGTAAATAATTATCAAATATAATCTCTTGTCAATCAAGCATGTTGACAAATCGAGATTTTCATGCGAGTTTTGAGTGAACAAGGTTTAAAGTTGAAGGAATATAAGTTTGAAAATGCAGAGATTTTAGGGATATGGGTTTCAAAGTGTAGGGATTTATTTTTCGAAGTGCTATTAGGGATATAGTTTTCAAAGTGTAGGGATATACGTTTTCAAAGTGTAGGGATATAGGTTTTAAAGTGTAGAGATCTAGGTTTCAGAGTGTAGGGATATTGGTTTCAAAGTGAAGGGATATAGGTTTTAAATTATAGCGATATAGAGTTTCAAATTATAGGGATATAGAGTTTCAAGGTGCCAAGATATACGTTTTAAAGTGCAGGGATGTAATGTTTGAGCATAGAAGAGTTTCACTATATGCAGAGCTACAGGTTTAAGGAAGTAGACATATAGGTGTAAGACACAGTCTAAAGTTACCTTTTAAAAAAAAAGTTCGAAGCTAGCCACATGCTAAGTCCTTGACCTTTCCCCCCCCCCCCCCGGATTGAAAAGAGTTTACATTTTCTCCCTTTTGTATTCCCAGGATGAGTAGCCACTTCATTCCTATGGATCTGTCAGACCGCAAGGCAGAGGATGCTTCGGCTCCCTTCCTGTGGTGGCCCAAGGTGACTTTGGAGAAGATCACCGCGACCATCGCCCACGTGGAGGCTTACGTCTGCGACCCGCTGAGCACAGCCACGGATTCAACGACCGGCTTCCTGCCAGGCTAGCTACCAGGTGTCTAGGACAGCACGACACTTGAACAGTAGAGGGAGCAATTTGTTTTTTAAACAACTTACCAACAAATAGCCATCTACAGACGTAACACACAGATAACCAACAGAACCTAGCTGTCCTACTTTGTATGAACCCAACTTTTTGTAACTATAATTCAGAAATAAGATGAAGAAGTGACCAACTTCTTCCAAGATTAATACTAAATGTTATATTGTTCTTATTATGGAAGGTTGTGAAAGAAACTGTGGCCTTGATGAAATATGTATTATTTACTTACCTATTTTAAAACAGCAAAAAATCATGCATTCAATAAACTCTTTGAAGCAACATACACATTAAACCCAGAACATAGATAACCCTAGAATTTATCCAGTTACATGTGCAGCTAAAGGTTCCGCCTGTATATATAGGTTATGTTATGTTGGATTAACCAAAAGCAATAACTCAACTGATTATATTGATACATGCTCTTTGTTTTTTTAATGCATTTTAGTTGGGTTTTTTTTTTTTTTGTATATAAGCGCAATATAATTAGCGCTGTTTTAATAATTCAAACAAAGCAAATGACTTGTCCATTGGCTACATAAGTTATTAATGTAAGTATAGTACGTTTATATTGGTTCAATTCTGACCAACAGAATTGTTCTTTATATTCAAAATAAAATAGTATCCAGGAGACATTTTTCATGGTTCCTATCGTATAATTATTTGTAGTTCATTGCTCTGAGCTCAACATGTTTGGTTTTTCTTAGGTTTTCTTGGTTTATTTTACTATCGTGGTCAGTTGCTATTTTTGTGGCCACGAGTTCTGTTTGTGCCATAAAGCTCTGCTTACTGATAAACCTAACCTGGGTGGGTCAACCGGTGGAGATAGGTCTCTATAATTTATTCTCAATGAAGTTGCCCTTAGCGGTAACATGTACATATGTACTATGCCCTACGTTTTGTTTTGGTTTTGTACGAGTTCTGTTTGACTTGGGGAAATTGGGAGGGGTATTTATTTTCACGTGAAAAGATCTTTGATCTGAAGGTCATTTGATGCAGAGATGACACGAATCTGTTTTAGCACCAGGCCAGTTTTGTTTCCCTGGACATGTGACGGAACACAAAGAATTCATAGTCCCAACCTTAAGTACATTTAGGTCCTTTTGAGTTGTTTTGTTGTTGTTTTTGTGTGGGGATGGGGGGAGATAGAACAATGGAGTGGTACAACAAAGAACTCGGCCACTATCTTGGATACTATTAAACATTATTTGTGTATATAAAATGTGTCATATATAAGTTAGCACTGTGTATAGTAACTACACTTGGTCGATTGTTTAGTGTGTGTGTGTGTGTAATAGGATCATACATTTGGTACGTGGAAAATAATTCTGTATTATCTATCACACCTACCTTGTTATAGTGTCTCAAATGTGTACTTATACTTACAGACGTCTAAGATGTTTATAGATTCAAACTGAAATGTTACTTCTAGGGATGTTTAGGTGAGCGCATTAAAAAACTTTGACATATTAACTCATTACAACTCATTACTGCAACACCAGTCTAGAGTAAGAATGCCAAACTCTTTATATTTATGCTCTACATTTCCATGTACCGAACTTCCTGACAGTGATGGAAATGTATTTCAGTTGGAATAAATCAATCATATTACTGTCATCTAACTGTTACAAAGGCAGGAAGTGACGTGTAAAACTGTCGGTTCAGGCCGTGAGTTATACTTATGTATCAGCATCAAATGGAAACAAAATCTAATTTAGTTTAAGATAGCAGTGTGACGTTGTGACGTCAGAACTAAGAAGGGGGGGGGAATAGAATATCATAGTACAGTTAGAAATGTTTCTTTATTAGAGATTACGTCAAGTTGAAGGTTTTCCTAAGCCAAACATCATTTTCTGGACACCAAAACAGATATTTTAAAACTTCTTGAAAGATATTGCGCTGTCTAGGACGTTTACAAAGACGGGAAAAAAAAACGAGAAATTATTTCTAGATTGACGTCATCGCTGGACAGTTACTTTTTTTTTTTTTGTTTTTGTTTTTTTCTTAAGAGAAGGACAGGCCAGCAAGATTTTCTATTTTGTTTTTGCGCGCGTTCAAGGTTCTGCTAACGTCTGCTGTAGAAACAAGTGCGTGTGTGTGTGAAGTTATTTTCTTCTAATTGTATAAAGTGGTAAAAAAAAAAAAATAATTTAGTTACTAAAATTCTGAACTCGTATTTTCCACACGTCATGATGCGATGGCAAAATTGTGAAAAGTAAAATGGATACAACGTAGACCAAAACCAGTGACTAGATTCTATAGCATCATGTTTTTGAATCTTTAGCACATAAGCAAAATATACTTGCTAGCTGACAGCACAAAGAACCATTTGAATAAATACAAAATCTCTTCATTCTCTGTTTGTAGATTGAATTGAAAAATGTTTCCGGCCGAAGTGTTTTCTGTAGCGGTCGTCCACTTTGTACCGAACTCTCGTGTAAATAGTCCAGGTTAAAGGTTATTCACTATTTAACACATCTTTTGTTGTTGTTTTTTTTTGTACTTTTTGAAGATGACACAGTACCATTAACTGCGGTTCACTTGGTTTACTTGGTCTAAGCATCCGGTAGCTCACTAGTTGTTTCTTGGTTTTTTGGTGGTTTTTTTTGTATTTTTTTTAAAAAAAGTGCAATGCCTTAAAATGAGAGTGAACAGTGTTTAACATGAGAATTTAGTGATCAGTGTTCAAAAGTCTGTTTGTTGTGTGTCTTATTTATTTTACATCATTTAATTGTGTCAAATTTCAGAACAAAAAAGTCTTAGAAGAAACAGACTTGTTATTTACAGTAGACTAATAATTTTAGTGTAAACATTAGAGCAGTATTTATTTAATTTAATTTTGTATTATTTATTATTAATTGTATTGTGTGTGTGCGTGTGTTTGAACTAGAACGTTTTCTCGTTTTGAATGGAAACCATCAAAATGCCCAAAATACTGTTAAACACACAGAGAGATAACAAAAACACATAACACAAATTTATAGCAAAAACACATAACACAAGAATATAACACAAACTCATAACACAAACACATAACACCAAGATAAAACACAAACACAACACAAACACATAACACCAAGATATAACACAAACACAACACAAACACATAACACTAATTTATAATACAAACACTTAACACACACACATAACACAAGAATATAACACAAACACATAACACCAAGACAAAGCACAAACACGTAACGCAAAGACTAAATACAAACATATAACACAGTAGTTTACATCTGACATGCAATAGATTTAACTTGAACACCAAATGTATTGTCGGTCAACGACCGGAGACTATTGTATGTATAATCTTTACGATGCTGGTATGTACTGACTTTGTAAATATTTGAATATGTACTCCATGTAACATCAACGCAACCTCCAAATAGTGGAACTCAGCAACTGGACACTTCAAATAGACTTGGCTCGTTTTTTGTTACATTTTCAAATCATCAAATAAAATTTTTTTGTTGTGTAAACAGATTTTGTCCCTCATGTTTTTTTTTTATATTGTTTATTGTTTTATAATTATTTCATACAAAATTAAAAGTCATGTAAAATCTAGAGACATGGACAAGTCATATTATTCGGGAAATGTTCAAGTAAACTATTTAAACAAACTCCTTACTATGAACTACTGTAAGAATCTAGGAGTTGTCTGTACCTATAGGCTAGAGATTAGGTTTCTGCTTCGTCTTGTGTAAATTGATTTTAAAAGAAAAATTGAAGTTCTGTAAGATCGCGTTCCGAGAAATTGAATAAAAACAAGGAAGATACTTATGAAGCAAAAGAGTTCACTGGAATGTATCAAGCAGAAGTCAGAGAGAAGAAATGGTCCAGTAGGAGATTCGGATTCAGAAGATTGAAGTGTGTGACACACGTGCAGTTGACGTACACGCACACACACAGTTGTAAGTTTCCCCCCCCCCCTTGCGCGTCTCCTCGCGCCCCACACCCGTCCTCTGCTTGGACAGACGACATGGTATTAGATATATAAACCTTTAGCTGCACTTGTAATGTCAGGGGGACTCAATTGTAAATTTTTACACCTTAGTTCAAAAGTAACAGCAGGGAGACTCATGAGTAACATTTTTACGCCTTACCTCAAAAGTAATAGCAGGAAAACTTATCTGTAACATTCTTACACCTTAGTATAAACACCAGTGGGTCTTATGTTGTAAAACATGTTTATTTAGTTCAAGGTCTCTTAGGCTGTAACAAATTTACATTTTCCCTCATGCAAACAGTTTCAATAAACCAAACAACACTCAATTAAAGTTAATGCAAAAATCATAATATAATTTAAAATGATATAAAAACAAATCATTATCACGTCGTCAAAGTATGATCACAATAATATATATTTGTATAAATGTTCAAGAACCGAATAACAGCTGAACAAAAATTCCTGAGTGTGTGTTACATTTCAACTTTATAATCGGCAGGTCTCATTGGACTCTGATGTTAAGTCTGATAACTCGAAGTTTACTGTATCATCGCTTCCTCTTTATGAAGTAACAAAATTTTTCAAAAAGACAAGACAATAGAAAAAGGCTAAACACACTATCAAGCAATTATGCACTTGACAGTTCAAAGTCAATAAAACAGTCACAAAAGTAGGTTGAATATAAAGCTTGAAATTTATAGATTGACCCCACTTATTGTCTCTCAGTGTATGTATACCCTCTCTAAAATTAGCAAATAAACAGGAGAGAACTAGATACTTCCACTGAAAAGATCCCGTCATAATTATTTTAACACTCATTGCTATTTTTAGCTCTATTAGAAACTTACTGATGTTTCTCGAAATGTGTATACGTTGTTTATTGTTTATACAATTACAACAACCTTGACATTAACAATTATGAGAGAGTAATAGTTTCGTCATACCTTTGAAGCAAGAGATCAAGATCAAGAACTAGCCGATTGACCGTATCATGTCAACTATAACCTTGTACATTTCTTTGTTGGATTATTTACAAATTGAATATTCAGTTCATGACGCTCCCCGGGAGCAGCAAAAGCGCGCGTACATCTTTAGTTTTGGAGTGTCTGAAAACGAAACTACAGTTGTGACTGAACTTGGTCTCATCTTCTAGAGATCATCCATTTCGTGCTCACCAATGATCGATATCTTATAATCGATAACATACGCTCATTCACTGACTTACCTGTCACTTACTCTTCCACTTGCAGTGGACGAAAAAATACACAAATTTAACCTGTTCTCAATTACCTTGGATCTAGGACCATTAAGATATTTTCAAAGATATCTGCAAAGACGAAATATACACAAAACACAAAAAAAAAATATTAAAAAAACTTTTTTTAAAAAAGCTTATCTAAGGGAGAAAAACATCCATATTTACAGCTATATCTCTCAATAATGTAGAGGTATTTCCCTTTTTTGATATAGAACAAAATGATTAATTACCAATAATTAATTGGCTAGTGGTTTTTCTTTTTAATAATGATCGATTCATTAATCATCGATTCATGTTTTGTTAGGTACAATAAATAAGTGTTAAAAGTTTCAACCAACTTGATCTGAAAATGGGTGTGGGAAAAACAACGTATACAACTATTTAAGGGGACGAAACCCCACATATTTAGCCAAAGCTGTGAATAATGAAGGATTAATTTCCAGTGTTGTTATCAAACAAAATAATTGATTACCAGGTATTAATTTACTAATTGGGGTGTTTGTTTTGTTTATTCATGTATTGATCTCGCCAATAAATTAAATGTGCAAAGTTTAAACTAGATCAAAGAACGGGTGCTGGAGGAATAACGTGTTCAAACTTTTTTACCAGGCAGAGTGAGTTCATATGAGATTTGTAAAAATATATTGTTACAAATTAACAGTGATAGGTAGAGGTCAACGTACGACACCGGCGAGATGACACAGCAGCGGGTGTTCTCTGAAATGTAATGTATAAACAAAGACAGGATGTGACGTGTCCTTACGTGTTATTCCAGAAGGTACTAGCAATGTCCAATGACAGATAGAGGTCACAACTTGTGACCCGGCAAGATGACACTGCAGCCGATGTTTTCTGGAATCTACATGTATAAACAAAGACAGGATGTGACGTTTCCTCACGTGTTATTCCAGAACATACTACTAGCAGTGTTTGTGCAAATTTGGAGGAGCGATTAGGGACTCTATATAAGCCAGAGAGTTAATGTGAAAGTCAGTCGTGAGTGAGCCGGTACAGTCGATACAGACGATGTAAGACGTGTGCGGCTCTAGTGGAAGAGAAATGTGTACGACTCGATGCAAGTTAACTATGGTAGAGTTAACTGGAGTGGACTACTGTCGTTAAAGTCTATACAGCGAACTACAGTGGACTTGAGCCGTTACAGTCGATGTAAGACGTGTGCAGCTCTGATTCGGTAGACTTGAGTACGACTTGGTTCAGCTTTGGGAGACCTGGAGCGACACTGGGAAGTGTGTCGTTGGTCTGTTCTGTGGAATACGGCTCGATGCAAGTTGAGAAGAGATGAATTGCAACGAAGTGAAGAAATGAATTGCAACGAAGTATAGCTAACTGTAAACTGACAGATATTGTACAGTCTTCTACGCTACATGTTACAGTGACGAATAGTTAGAGTTAATAGTCAATAAAGTTATATGAAGCTGAAAGTTTAGTCGTCAAGTTCTTTGCAGTGTTTTTATTTGTGTGTCTACTAATACATTTAGCCAGAAGATTCAGAAATACGTAACAATATGAATTCAAAGTTTAGTTGTATCATAAGTTATACTTCTCGACTTGTCCATCTTGAATTTAAAATCTGACTTTGAACTTTTCAAAAAGAAAGTAGATAATCACATATTGATTATGCATATTGATAAGTCTGGTGATATAAGCCTAGCCTCTCACCACGTCGTCACCTCATACACAGCTTGTGGAGCAATACAGAAAGGTAAGAAGGTGATTAAAACAACATCTCATCACGTAATAACAGGTACTAAATCAAAGAAGCATTCACAAACCACTTTCTAGAATCTAATTAGGCAGCCAGGACGGGGATGAAAATGTCCGTCATAACTTTTATCTGTACCTTTTTTTTTTTTTAATGTTTGTCTTTTGTTTGTTCGTTTTATCTCACGTCTGATGGAGGACATGCTGCGATAACTCTTGATTTCTTGATAACTCTTGATATCACAGTACGAAATCTTCTTTCGAAAAAAGGAGGCAACTC